TTCACTGTGAGCATGGTGAGGCACTGGAAGAGGTTCAGGGCCAGGCTGGATGGGACTTTGAGCAACCTGACCCTAGTGGAAGGTGTCCCTGCCCATGGCAGGGGGGGTGGAACTAGATGGTCTTTAAGGTCCCTTCCAACCCAAACCATTCTATGATTCTATGATTGTAGGAGATGGTATACTTCATATGGATGGGGACAGGTTAGCATGTCAGTCTTGCACTAGATAAACATTCGAGATTCAAAATTTACAATGTAGGATGGTTGTTCCAGTCCCAGCAATTCTGTTGTTAGGTCCCCAACTCATTCCTGATTTCACTCTACTATCAGCATACTTGTGCATATTGATTTACCTAACACATACAGAATACTTCAAAGCATTCAAATAAGAGTAATGTTAATTTTGGTCTTTCAGCAGCACCAGTGGCTAGTTACTTTGTGTACGGAGAATGAGTTTGGGTAAATCCATTCATAAGCCTAATGTTCAGTTTGTGGAAGAAAGATCAGTATGAGATTAGCAGTACCTATCTTCTCACATTATACATTTCTTGTGGATGAGATCAATGTTTGATTCTGAGCACCAGCAACGTTGGTCACTTGTATAAAAGAGCAGTTGCTTACCTAGTAGTGTCTGTTCCTTTGAGATGCAGCATCTGCGTAGGTTTCTCTGACATCTTTCCTGCTTTCAAGGTACTAGTCACCTAGCTTCTGTGTTAGCAAAGTCACACTTGGTGTAAACTCTGACAATGCTAGGGCAGACACAGCATTTTTTTAAAGTGATTGCTTATATAAGTGTATGAATTAATATGGCCAAATTAGTCCTAGTGTGGTTTTGTTTCTCCCACTGAGGTTTTATATTTGTTAGAAAGGTACTTCTGATTTTATTTTGCAATGTATTGATTCCCCACTGATGTTGTTAAATAAATATCATGGCTTTCAGTAGATAGGAATGCAGTTTGGAACCGTGAGACTGTGAGCATGTCACTCGAATGTGTCTGGCATAAGGATATTGAAATAATTAGCAATCCTGATCTATTGAGTTTTGAATTGCACTGTTAACCTATCATCAGGGAAGTGGCAGCTCTCAGAGGTCATTTTTCAGACTGAAAAAAAACCGGTTACGTTCAATTCCATATTTAGTTAGTTTTCAACAGAGCAAGATATACCTTGACTGCTACAACATTCATTATAACCGTGTTTCTATATATTAAGAGATTTAAGTGGATTGTCACAATGCTTTTGAAAAGCTCCAGGTTTCCTGTAAGATTTAGAAAGCCATTAACTGCTAGTGTTTTGCAGAACCATGCTATCCAGAAAGTGTGTATTTGTTTGGCTATAGTTCCTCCTTCAGGAATATAGTAGTTGTACATTTGTAGCAATTCAGTTGCAGTGATATGTCAATATCAGTGCTGCTAAGGGAGCAGTAAGCAATACCATATGTACAGCAGTACTATCTGGTTATGCTTTTCTGATTATGAACAGTATATGAGCTGTAGTAAAATAGGCCTATGACTTTGCAGAGGACTAAATGCAAAGGAGATGACTCAGAAAATTTCCAGAAAACAATTAGTATTGCCTTTGCCATGAGTTAGGATGCCATTGCATAAAATGTAATATATTGTTCCAGCTGAAATAAAAAACAAACAGTGACAAGGCAGCAGACCAGCTATCTCATTTCAGGTAAATGCTGCTGAATCACATATGTGGTTCATAAATGGAAGCAATAGCAAAAGCATAGCATAAGCGAATCAGTGAAAGATAAAATAATTCCCTGAAAGAAGAAATGAGCAAGTACTTTGTGAGTAGAGTAAGATCGGCCAGAGTCAGGTTCCTTGAGTTCTACTGATCATTCTCCAGAAATGAAAACAAATAACTGAGTGGTGTGTCTTCTATGTGGCAATGTCGTAGAGCAAAGGGCACAGAAGCCATTCTCCAGACAAGTACAGCAGTGCTATGAATGTGGAGAGAAGCACGTGCACTTTGTGAGCCTTGGTCTACCTAAATGACTAGAATGCTATCTGCCCTTGACCAAGATATTTGGATTAGGATGATGTTCACATTAGGCATCTTTATAATTAAGTAGGAGAAAGGGACCTTCAGAAAGTGGTTTAGAGATGTAGAGTCATTACCTGGAAGTCACTTTCTCTTCCCCACCATTCATAGCACAGGAAACCTGAGGCAGCTCGGTTCTTAATGTAGGCACCAACTTAGTTGTCTAACGTTAGATGGGTTGAATTCAGGCTGAAGGACAACATCACTTAGAAGCCTGAAGCTTCATGTTGCACCATGTAGCTTTCAAACTCATGGCTTCTGTAGTTGAATAAAACATGCTGTGTGAGGCATCTCGATTCCTATACACAGTGCATGGAGAAAGCTGGTGGACTCACTCCAGGTCCAAAGCAACCAGCATGGTAAGCTGGCAACTATTATTGCACTTATTGCCCCTTATGTGGGGGTGGGCTTCAAAGCATTTTAAGCAGGCTATGAGGATGCAGTTCGTGGCATAACCTTTTCTTGATGGTAAGTGCTTAAACACTTTCAAAGTGCAGGACAGGTTTCTTTTTTCTTTTAAGATGCCAAGAGGTAAAGAGACTTCCCCCATTTTCTTAATACCCCAGTGGCTGGAGGATACTCATGCTGAACAAGGGAAACAGTTTCAGTTCCTTTCTTACCTTGAAGGAGGTCAAATCTATTCTCTAAACTGCCTGTGTTAGAGGCTGAGAGAGTCTTTTAGGCAGGGCTGTACAGGTAATGTAATTAATTGTTTGAAAAGGAATTAAGGTTCATTTGGTCACATACAGTCACTGGAAATACGAGTCTACACACTGTGGCATCTCCTTGGGTCCACTTCAAAGACTGCAGATTATTTATTTATTTATTTTTAAATGGAACAAAGTGATGAAGCACTTCCACCAGTGTTAAGTGCTTACATGTTTTTAGGGGTTTGGGTGGGGGATTCTGTCTTTTTCTTTTTCTTTTTTTTTTTTTTTTTTAATCTGGCACCAAATGGTACAGACACATATCACTCAAGAAACTTAAAGGCAGACAGGTGAATCTGGACTTCCTAATCCCAGACAAGAAGCATACTCATCCATCCTTTCAGGAACTGCACTGATGCTAATATTTAGCAGTTAAGAAATTGTCCGAACAGTGTAATTTTTCAGAAAATGACAGTTGTCTCTTGGCATTCCTACATCACAGGTTGGTTTGTTTTTTTTCTGAAATGCCAAGAATGCTTAAAGTTATCTCCGATTTATATTAACTAGCATTTATTCAGACTAATTCTCAAATTGCTTCTTCTTTATATTTTTCCCATTTTCCATGGGATGCAGGTGACATAAAGTCAAAAGTGACATAAAGTCAAAAGAGCTTCATTAGGAATGTATGTATAGCTCGTTTTGTTATTCCTAATATTTTCAGTAATTACAGAAATTATTAATCTTGGGTACATTTGTTAATCATTAGAGTTACAGTTGATTTTGCCTGTCTTCCAATTCTGTTTTTCCCAGATGAAATAATTGTGCAGAAGCCAGAGCTCACCAGTCCATCGATCTGTCATGCTCCTGGTGGGGAATACTTTGTAGAAGGAGAGACATGGAATATTGATTCTTGCACACAGTGTACATGCCACAGTGGACGTGTCCTGTGTGAGACTGAAGTCTGTCCACCTCTTCTTTGTCAAAACCCCACCCGCACACAGGACTCCTGCTGTCCACAATGCCCAGGTATATATTGACAACGAGCTTTCATCAGAGTCCTTTCTTGATCTGAGAATGTATGATGTGAGTATTGAATGTTTCAGTATGTGCACAGTTGGTTGTTGTAGTGCCTTTGTTCTTTAGCAGTTTGGAGTGAGAACCTGCAATCCTCTATTTCCACTGCAAAACTTGACTGTGTGCGAGAGGTATCTTATATGTAAAGGGGAGTTGTGGCCCTGAAGTTTGATCATCTTTGAAGGCAATCTAATGATGTAAGGGTTGCATGAGAACCAGAATCCTTAGTTGGAAGGTTTATGAAATATGCACTGGCTTGTTTATGGAAACATGCAGGATTAGAGAAACTTTGAAAGTAGCCAAAGTTCGAGGCAGATACAGGCTTGTTTCTCTTCCTTTCTGCATGCCTTGGATTCTATGAACCTTTTTACTACTATCTTGTCTGTTTGGGATTTGGTCTCAAAAATACTTCTGTTTGCTTTTACCTTCACCTGGTATGATTTGAGAGTGACTTGAAGGCAACTGAGTAATATCAAAGCATTCCAGCCCAGCAGGTGTGCCAGATTCCTCCTAGACTGCCTCACAGTGTCAAGAAGGTAACAGGATTTACTTCCCCCGATGAAAGAAATGCGATTATATATGATCGTGAATTCCTATTTTACACATCAAATGGGGGAGTTTATTGCAGTGGAACTTTAGTCCAAACCTGTGAATTGTATGTAAACTCACTGAGAAAACACTTGTCTTTATTAAAAACAAAATCTAAAAGTTTTACTTTAGGGAAAAAAAAAGTTAGGTTTTGCAATGTCTTCTATAGGGTGTTTGTTGGATTTTTGGGTGGTTTTTTCCTGACAAAATATTTTCAGTAAAAAAGTTAGCCAGTTCTCCTGACTTCCATTTTTCTCATTATTAATAACAATGCACATTTGCTTAACTTCAAAATACTGTTTGGAGGAGCTGATCTTTCCTCACTGGCTATATAAGGAGCTTAATCTCATAACTTACGCAGATTGAGAACCTGATCTCTGTGCCCCTTTTTTTTCTTCTCCTTTTCTTATATGTTCTCTGCACATACAGTCATATTTCTTGATCCATAATGTCTGTAAGATACAGCTTCATTGCAGAAATATGTCTCCCCCATGTGCGGGTATGAGAATTAAAGCAGACCCATTGCCATCAAGCTGGAGCCCGATCAAGTTCCATTTGTTTCTCAACAGCTTATAATTAGCTCACATAAGTCCACTAGTGAAGGCGACAGCAGCATAATAGCTTTTCACTTTGCATCATTCAAGGATTTGAACTGACATGGCAGAACCTGGCATTCAATTTTTAGATGTAAAATCTAATCTCTCTAATTTAAAGTGAATTCCTATATACCATTCAGTTCAGAGCATTCAGAGTGGCTTTCTGAGGGGCTACTTCTGATGGTGATTGTTTTTCACTTTGCTGTCCTTTTTTTCCTCTTTTTTCTTTTTTTTTTCTTTTTTTTTTTTTTGAGTAAACTCAATAAAGGTCTACATAAACTTTATTCTAGAGCACATCATCACATGTAAGGACTGAAGAGGCATAAGGCTCTGTCCTTCTAGTTCTTCTGAAGTAGTGAGCCTATGTGTTACAATTCCATTGTGTTCTTCAAGAGTGAACCCTCTCTTGATGAAATATGAGAGAAGCTAGCTACTGCAAGTTAAATAACTTAATCTGTTTATATTTACAGATGAGCCTCTTCAGCCCTCTTCATCAACCAATGAGAGCATGCCCAGTTATTGCAAAAACGATGAAGGAGATATTTTTCTGACAGCTGAGTCCTGGAAGCCCAATGTTTGCACTAGCTGCGTTTGCATGGATGGTGTGATTAGATGCTACTCTGAGTCTTGCCCACCGGTATCCTGTGAGAGACCTGTTTTGAGAAAGGGACAATGTTGTCCTTACTGTATTGGTGAGCAAATAAAAATAGTTGATAACTTGCTGTTCCCTTCTTGGGAATAAGAAAGAAGTTTTATTCCCAGATTGAAGTATGTTTTCCCTGTTTTGGGGAGATGCAGTTTGTGCCTTCAGTTGAACTGGAGAGTGAAATCTGCATAGGGAGCTTTGAGGGTCACGATTTGTGGTTCTGAGGTAGAAGTGCAGGAAGATATAAATGTAATTTGCCTACAAACTTGAGAGGACATCCTCCTGAAAACTGGTAATACACCTTACTAGATGAAAACACTACACAAAAATTGTTTTATTTAAAGGAAGATCTGCCAGGTAACATGTATGTTATGTCAAGATATGTGATAATATGAGGAAAATGCTAATTATGACTGCAGAAGATAAGCTGAAGCATTATGAAATTTCACAGAATAAAGAAATTTCACAGAATAAAGGGCATCTAAATTAAAATACGGGGAAAAAACAGGAAGTTCATTAAAGATAGTTATAGAAGAAGCAAAATAATATATTTGAGAAAAAATTAGGGAGAATTTTTAAATACTAAAAATGCATAAAGAATTAAGGACCATGTGCTGGTTTTGAATTTGGATTTGAAGTAAATGGTGGATGCTGTAGATAGTGAAAATTGCATTTTTAAAGTTGCAGAATTTGAGATTCCTGATCAGTTTTTCATTGTATTTTGAATAGGAGTGTTTATTTACAGATTACTTTTTTGTGAGTTCGCAGTAAATACAAAGGCTGTAGAGTGGAAGCTGCTGATAGAGAAGAATTGTATAATGAACTTACTGAAATTAAGTGTTTGTAGCATTGTTGGAAAACCTTCAGAGCTTACTATAACCTTCATTTCCAAAAGTAGTAGGGGGAGATACAGTAAAAGAGAATTCAGTAAAAAGGAATATAATAAAATAATTGTTAACTGAACATGTCAATCAACTTGCCCATATATAAACAATACAGTTCTCCATCAGAAAGATGTCAGAAAGGTTATGAAGTCCTTTCCGATATGTACCATTGATACAGCTCTTGAAATCTTAATTTGTTGCAGAAAAAATATCTTTAATAATAGGTGATACAGTTTTACAGGATATGCAAGGAATTCCATCAAATAAATGCCTGGAAAAGTTAGAAAGTATCAAAATTTCAGTTGCCCTTGGAACCCTATTTCCTGATGAGGACATTTTGAGGGGAAAATACTATGTTATCCTATTACTACTTTCTCATCACGGTTTGCATACAAAACGGGGAGGATTAAAAGTTTCTTTGACAACTGTCTTTCTGCAGGCTTTTCTTCCAGTGATTGACTTTGCAACCATAAAGATCATTTTAATCCAGAATACATTTTAATGTTAGAAAAATACAAAGTATATGCAAAGTTGGGCAATCAAACCAGTAGAGTCAGAACATGAGCCTTAGTACTGTACTGGAGAATTCTTTAGGTCAAGGAAGGGAGGTACCACAGGGACTAGTGCCATGAACTACAAAAATAAAACCTCAAGAACTTTGTGCCTACACCTTGCATGTGAGGTTTGCAAATATGTACACACAACATGGCTTTAATTAATTCACTTTGAATCCCATATGGTTGCACAATATTGCAAATACTTAAATGTGTAAGCTGTAAAAACCTAATGATTTTTTTTTAGTAGCAATTGCTCAGCAATTAGAAATACAGAAGCCAGATTTTAATTAATGCTCAGATATGAAGACTTTCAATGATGATACATTTTATTAATCTAAACTGTACTATGTTGTCAGTATGTTTTGTGGTCTAAATAACTGAAAATCATGGAAACTTACTTTTATAGTTCTATGAACTATATACGCTTGCCTGTAAGCGGAGTAAGGTCATGCATTTAATTTTTGTCCTTCTGGTTCTTACTATTTTACTCTTCATTTCTTGAGAACTGTGAAGCACGTCTTTGTACAGATTCTTCTTTACTATTTTCATATAATAGTTGATAAAATGTTTAGTAGGCAAACTCTGTGGAAACAGGCCTTCTTCATTTATTTGAATTTCAAAAATTATGCAGGGTTTTAGCACTGTATTTTATTCTGCTTCTTTCTGGATCCAGATCTGGTTAATGCCTAACAAGTTAGTATAGATTCAAATTCAAAATTTTAGAGGCTTTGTTGTTTGTCTGAATCCTCAAATTCATCCTGTCTGTTCAACATTCCTCGTTCTCATGCAACGAAAGATTAATTTGGGAAAATAACCTTCTACTCTAGAGAGGATAAAGGGATAGCTATTTGATTAGAAACAAGATTAGTCTTCTGTGGAAAACAAAGCAATGACTGTTTGTTTACCAGATGAGATTGATTTACTGGTGCAGCTAGAGGAAATTTGAGAGAAGACAGGTAGAGCCAGACACGGTATCCTGAACTGCATTTTTGTATATGGGTTTCTTACTGCAAGTCTCGCTTGTTTCCACTGTCCTTGAGCACTTGTTATGTTGTGGCCTTCATCTTCATCCTGTGCTTATATTTGCAAAGAGATGGACACTAAAATGGGAGACACACACAGGATGTTTCTTAGGAATTAAAAGTTTCTTCTTGAGGTTCAAAGGTGCAACACTGCTGTTGTGATTTTACCCTTGTTCCTTCTTCTAAAAAACATTTACTGTATTAAATTGTGATGTGTTTCTTTACAAACTTGCAAAAGCCTGAGCAAGTTGAAGAACTTTTCCAGCCAAACCAGCTGCTGAATTGAAGAAGCTGTCCTGAGTGGGGCAAGATAGTGCTTTTGGGAGCAGATCACCCCAGAGTGCTCAGCATTAGGTCTGCATAGGTAATGAGCAGTAGAGGACTGCTCAGGCTGTGTGCCTCACCCTCTCCCCAGCCATATCTACTTTCTGGCCAACACAGGGCTCCACTGGCTCTATATGCCAACATGCAAGTCGTCTATGGAAGAACCTAATGTGCAGCTTGCAGACACCTTTTCCTCCCACTCTTCCTTTCCCATGTCCACCCCATATTCACTTACAAAATCTTCTAATTGGAGAGGTTGGGACCCATACTTAAAACCATGGAAGCCATGGGATACCCATACCAAGGCCCTCTGGAATATTTACGCTTTTCAGATAATTCCATTAGTATTTTCACAATAGTACTTCTAGCTGGTCTTCTTTTGCATTTGAATTTACTCTGTCCAGATCTGTTGCAAGTCTGCTGACTGCTAACCTTGTTATTCCCGATGATGTCAGTCTGTTATGTTGTCACTAATTAAAAGCTGTACTGATGGCCAAATTATTTAATAAGACTATTTATATTTGGGAGGTAGTTCTAACTGACATATTTACATATGTAATCTGTGTGAATACTAACATTAGTTAGTATTTCTCTAACGGCTTAAGTTACTTTGCAATTTCATTCAGTTATCTCATGCATATGGTTAATCTGCAAATCCATGTCATCAGCAGGTTTCATCATCATAATTTCTGCCTCTCAGAAAAAAAGGTAGCGAGAAGCTAAGATGAAAATGAGGTGCTGCTTGGCTTTTGGAGGTTCTGCTGTGTAGTTTTATTTTGATTATCTATAAAGTGCTATAGCAGCAAAAAAACATCCTAGGCTAAACAATTCATGACTGTCTTCTCAGTGAAATAGAAGGTATACTGCAGACCACCTAAAAGGCTTGCATAGGATGCAGCATAAAAAAAATGGTGTATTGAATGCTTCTTTTTAATGTTTTCGCAAGACCTATTTTCTTCATCAAGTCCAGGTCTCTATTACATACTGTGTCAAAGTTTATCTGAAAAGTTGTTAGTTTTACAGCTCTCAATCTTTCGGAAAGGTGTTCTGGAACCTCACTTTTTTCTGAGGGTTAAGATCACACCAATTTCCAATTTATATAATACTAACCATGAAAAAAACGTACTGAGTTTGGTTACTGCCCTTTTCCTGGGGTTTTCCATTGATGCAGTTACAGGGAATGATCAGATCCTCTTCGAATCTGTTTTATCATAATAAATAGTCGAAGTACTTCTAGTTACGTCACCTGTGAGTTGCTTCATCCTTCTCAGCATCCAGCCTAATCTTTTCTTCAAGTATTACAGACTGAGTTCATCTTTCTTGAACTTTGGTAATTAGAAATGTAGGTAGTCTGGTTTTTTTCCTTAGTTAAATAGGATTTACTAGGAAACAAGGAGGAGTAATTGGCAGTCTCAAACAGTCAAATGTAAAAAAATCAATTTTTCTTAATTTTCACAGCACTTTTGATATCATCATTTCATGTCCCAATCATCCGTCCTCTAGCCTCTTGCATGAGGAAAATGAGGAGAAGCAGCCCAGGCTAATTACGTACTTCATAAAGAAGCAGAAATGCCACTTTTTTAACAAAGGTTTTCCAGAAGATGTGGAGACGGTCTTTTAATTATAGTTGGGATTTCTTTGTGGCTATTGTTTCACTTCTGTGTTTGGGAATGAAATCAGATTTGTGTGTAATCGGCCATTACTGCGTGATCACACCACTCTGTTTTCCTTCAACAGAAGATACAGTTCCAAAGAAAGTGGTCTGCCACTTCAATGGAAAAACATACGCAGATGAGGAACGCTGGGACATTGACAGCTGCACACACTGCTACTGCCTGCAGGGTCAGACTCTCTGCTCCACCGTCAGCTGCCCGCCCCTCCCTTGTGCTGAACCCATCAACGTGGAGGGAAGCTGCTGTCCCATGTGTCCAGGTAATATCATGTGACAACCCAGATTATTGTAGTGCTGGTTTTCCAGCACTGATAATAAGGGTTTTTTAATTGGTTTTTGAACATCAGTCCATGTTTGAACATTATCAAGAAGACAACAGACGTTTAGACTTCAGGAAAATGAATATTCTTAACAGATAGGCATATTGTGCAAATATATCGTTTGAATTTTACTTACTCTGAGAACTGTGAACTCAAAAATTAGTTGCTTGTCCCTGCTCTGTCCTTTCGCAAGGTTATGGAAATACATTAGTGAAGTAGGACAATGAATATTCTTACATCTCTGCAGATTCTGTCAGTGATTAACATTTCTGTCTTTTCCGAGTCTCTTCGTTACTTTTCAACTATTGCATTGCTTTATCTATCATTTTAACTTGGCTTAAAAGTAGCAAGAAATTTTCTTAGCTATGGACACAAGGGACATAAGAATTGCAACTGGTTTTTAATGCTAGTCCTGACAGACTTCGGCAGGAGTTTGCTCATCTTACTCAGTCAGCTGGTAACTACTTCCGACAGGACAACTGGGGAGATTCAGCAGTACCCCCTCTTGCGGTTCTCCTACTTTGAGGATTACAAAAAAAGGCAGGCAAAGAAACCAGCAGTGACAGTTTACATATCAACTGGGAAGATGTAGCCTTTCCTTGGTATTTTTGTTGTTTAGTATCACAAAGGAGCAAGGCTCTAGTAAAGTGTGTATTCTGCAATGGTATTTTCAAAAGCAAATTTGTCCACACGACTATATTATCCCATTCACATTGGGATAATGATAATGGCAGCAGGCATGTATCCCGTATACAGTATGAAACAGGTTTTCAAACAAAACCCCAGACTAGTAATGGTGAAAATTCTGAAACAAATAAAAGGATTCATAGGACAAGGCACTGCAGATGGCCAAGTATATTTTCTGAATTAAGAGCAGCACTGGGAAGTTAAGCAGCCTGTACTTTGTGAAACACATTTATCTCATTTCACAGAGATGTATGTACCTGAACCTACTAACATCCCCATTGAGAAGACAAATCATCGAGGAGATATTGAACTAGAAGTACCAAACTGGCCAACACCAAGTGAAAATGACATCATCCACATTCACAGAGGTAAGATCTGATATCAACTGGGCTAACTTAGGTCTGTGTTTATTCCCCATGTTTTAATGCATCTACTTGTTCTATTCAGGTGGCATCTGTGTAATGCTTTGAAAAGGTGGTTATCTGAGAATATTCCTCAGTGCCGTACTCTTACATGCATTTTGCTTTGAGTAAAGATGAGTCAGTCTATTAAATTATATTTATGCAATTTGGTCTCATTATCATTCCATCTTCAGCTTGGAAGAAACATCTGTGTTGGTATGATGGAGTTCTATAAAATTAAGAATGCAATAAAATGATGAATGAGGAGTGATTCTGCAGTATCTTTTCTGATACAAAAACTAGAAAGCAGGCTCTTGTCAGGCCACTGAAGTCAACAGACTTGCCTTTGATCCATTTGACATTCTTACATTGATAAACAAAAATGGTAAAACATGTACCACAGCTTAACATGTAACATAGACAAATGCCAGATGAAAAAAAACCACTTCACATGTATAATGACACAGGGCTAAGAAAGTTGTCTAAGGATATAAATCCACCTTTTGTTTAAAATGGTTCTGAAATCATTATTCTGGGGTAGGGGAAACACTATGACACAGTCTTCGTTAACCCTTTCTGATTGAAGGACTACCTAAACTTGTATATATTTTTTTTAAATCCAAGGATGATCTCATAGCATACTATTTTTGGGTGGCTAGGAGAAAGGATATATGAAATGTAACTGCTTTACAAAATTGTAAGCTTACACTTCTATAATTACAACATTTTCCTTTCTCCCAGGCATTAGTAGCTGGCTTGCAACTATCCTGGCTGGGGATTATAAACACACACTGCAAACTGTGTGGGAATGTTGTACATGTCATTGAAAATTACCATTCTTTGCAATTATATGCAAAACTTGCTACAGTCTAGTAGACTGCCAGCAGTCTGTTTTCACAGGCTGAGTATTGTATTTGTGGAAGTATTGTAATATGTTCTCAACAAGTGAGAGAGCATACAGAAGAAAACATCAGAATTGTCTTACCAGTTGTGTGTTGGGTTTTTTTTTTTTCAAAAAAGGGAAAAGACTTCCAGGTTTTCCTCAGCATAGAAACACAGGCTGATTTTTTTACAAGTGGGAATTCAGTTGTGATCAGATAAGATGATATGAACGCAACTAAGCTAAGAGGTTATTGTCAGACTTGCTTGTTATTGTGCTTTAGATTCCATCCTATTTCCTCTCTTTTTGATGGCCTTTTCCCAGCTAATATAGTCGCTATATAAGATACTACCTTTCAGTTGTTCTAATTTATATGAATAAGGTGACATTTCAGGAGAGAAAGTCCAAATTCATGTGAGTGACAAGATCCACGACTGGGATTTTCATAATTACATTTTTCTTTTTGGTCAAGGCCCATTTATAATTACTAATAAATGCTTACATTTGCCTTGCAGACATGAGTCACCTCCAGGGAGAGTACAGAAGTGGCAGTGGACCACACCCAAGTGAAGATGCCTCGGTTGGCTCTGTTGCCTTGGTGACAATTCCAATCACGATAGCGCTGTTACTGATCATCGTTCTTCTGCTTGTCAATCAGAAAAAGCAGTGGATTCCAGTGTCCTGCTACAAAGCTCCATCAAAGGTGCCGTATTTATGTCTGTTTCCAGGCTTTCACTTTTTTTGAAAACAAGATTAACTAGAATATTGTGTAGGATGCAATTAAGTTCACATCGTCTGAACTCTCTTAAATTATTTTCTCTTTATGTTTTAAACCATTGTATACCAGTCAGTCTGTTGGTATTTATTTAGTCTCCTAAATGATTTTTTTCACTGTCAAACAAAAGCATTTCCTGCTCCATGTAGTAATGACTTGTCACTAGACAGAAATCAAGCTCCGCAAAAAAATTTTTAAAAAACCCAACTTTGTATATGTGTAGGTAAATATATGCAATTTTCTTATCTGCAGTCAAATTCATAAGAGAGTATTTTTGCTTTCTTAACTTTCATCTACTTTAAAAGTATTGTCCAACATCAGGTACTGTATGTGCTAGTAGTGTTTATCACATTTTCTAATAACAGCATCATATGGTTCGGGGTTTAATATTTTAAGAGAGATCTCAGGAAATATCTACCTATTAAATATTCTGAGACTACCAAAAAAAGGAAGAAGCAGGTAGCTTGGAAATGAACAGTGAAAAGAGCATTATTTTGTTTTGAGTAATAGTTCCATCAGCAGACTAAGCCCTTACTCTATATTCAAATGCCATTTATATCAGTTCCCCAATTTATCCCACTTCTATTTCCTAGTTCTAATCAAATAGACTTTGTCCATACTTGGAACACAATTTGAAAGCATCTTTTCTTCAGTTCCACCTAGAATAGTAGTACAGTAACTTTAAAAATTAAGTGTCCATATTCTTTCTGTCACTGCTGCAGAGCGTTTTTTTTTAAAAAAAAAAAAAAAACTTTTCCAAAAAGTTTACAAATATAGTCAGAGCATAAAGTTGAATTCAATTGTAATTAAATAGGAAGCATGAGGAATCAGTATTACTCCACTTCCAGTTTTTCAAGACAAGTAAGCAATTCCAGTTTCTGAATTTCTTAAGGAATGCATTTAAAAATTAATTTTTAACTCTAATGTATTCACTCCTAAACTCTCAGAAAGGCTGTTACGTGCTATGTGACAAAATAGTTGAAGCTGAAGTGAAAATCACAACTCTGTAACTGTGGAACTATAATCAATAATTCTACGTACTTTCTTACTTATGAAACATCATTTTTCTCAAACGCTTCTATTGCTGAAACATTTTTTCAATGTCAGCAAAAGACATCATCCATATGCTAAGAAAGCTCGCTTTAAGCCACATACAGATTCATTGCAAGACCATGGATGCGCTGAAACTCAGATTTCTTGTGAGAGTCTTTGTCATAAATGTAGCTTTCTTTTAAGGTTTCTTCAACTAGATATCACTCATTAGTTTCTCCTGTTCCTTGCTGGGTGACTGATAATAAATAGTAATAAATTTTGGCAAGCCTGTTTAGGCTTATGTTCTGTCTGTTCAAAATAGTCCAGCTATTCAATAAAGAACAAATCAACAACTATGCTTAAATAATATCTATACCAAAAGAAAGATTATAGAAAAGATGTTTAAAATTACAGATGGACTGCTAATGTTTAGCCCTGATTCCATTAACATCAGTGAACCTCAGGACTTCTTTGTGAATCCAGTCCACATTGAAGAGCCAAATGTAAAACATTTTACAATAATGTTTTGTAATAAATATCTGGGTAAAAAAACCTTTTTGTGATAAGGGTTACTGAATATAATTTTTTAGTAATAAAAACCCATCTGATTTAAGTCTTCGAAAAAGAAGCTACACCAGTGGAAACTGGAATTTTTAAGATTCGTAGCATGTTATAGTGTGAGCATTGTCACTAACTTCGTATCTATCCATAGAGTATGCTTACTGCCTGTCCTCCTTCATGCTTAGCCCATAAACATTTAAGGTAGTGTGCACCCAGCATTGTTTCACCTTCCTCTCAGCTGCAGAATCTTTCAGTTGAAGGATTCTCAAACAGAGGAATAGTAGGACTGGATATGGGAATACCAGAGCTCCATTCAGAAGACGAAAAATGGTGATTCAGAAGACGGTGTTGGTCTGTTATCGTGCCCGGCATAAGCCTTTACCAAGTTTAGCAAAAGTCCAGACTCTTTCATTGCTGATTTGATTTTGGCTTGTGCTTACGGACTTGAACCACAAACATTTTTTTAATTATGGGTGGAATACAAACATTTTTTAACGGATTCAATATTCCCTTTCTGTTTTAACAGCCTTCTTGCCTAAACAATCAACTGGTATATGTGGACTGCAAGAAAGGTACCATGGTCCAAGTGGACAGTTCTCAGAGGATGCTAAGAATTGCAGACCCAGATTCAAGATACAGTGGATTTTACAGCATGCAGAAACAGAACAACCTACAGGCAGATAATTTCTATCAAACAGTTTGAAGAATTGCACCCTTACCAAGGATTAGAGAGAGAGAGAGAGAGAGAGAGAGAGAGACTAAGTCTGCTATTAAAATAAAACTAGAATTGTGCACTTGCTTAGTGGATTGTATTGGATTTGTGACTACATGTACAGCTCTAAGACCTTACTGGGATGAGCTCTGACTCCGGCAATGTGCCAGAAAAAGCATTCCCACTTTTCCTTGAGATAACTGACCAAGTGTTTTCTTAGAACCAAAGTTTTAAAACTTGTTAAGATGTATTTGCTTGTAACATAGCTATAGAGGTTTTTTGGGAGGGGGAATCAGGGGCTAGGGGTAGGCAATGAGGTAAAAGGAAGCTTCAGAGAAGAAAAGCTGGTCATGCTTGGCTGGAGAAGAAAACGAATAAAGAATACTGCCGAGCAACAGGATAGTGGTTTTTCTTGTTGCTCTGAAATTGCATCTGTTGCAGCAAAGCCTAACCCCAGGTGAAAAAAAATATGAAAAGGTCTGTTTTTTTTTTTTCCAGCTGTTGCTACAGTAATATACTCCTAGAACAAAATTTGTCACATCACAGGTGTGGTGTAGCTGCAAATATTTTTCTATATGATGAGAAGCTGCAGTAGTTAATGAAATCGCAAGGAAAAGGTTATAGCAGAAAATAAAGGGTGGGTTTATTAAGGATGTATAAAATTATATCTTGTGCTGCTTTTTGGTTTTATTTTTGTTTTCTTCAAAGCTGATTGGCTAGATTAGCCAGACTTTGGCAGAGTTAGCAAATGACTGAGGCCTAAGTAATTCCTGATATGAGCACTGGATCTTTTGACAGCAGTATTGAAGGAAGGAAGGAAAAGTCAAGACACCATGCAGTTCCAGGGGCTTTTGTTTGTTTGTTTTGTCTGTTGTGGTTTGTTTTGTTATTTTATATCAATCTCTGGTTGTTCATACAGGAGAAGGAAAAATATTTTTGTTGGACAAAGCTCTTGCTTACAAGAGAGTAAAAAAGAGACTGTTTTAAGGTTGTTGTTTTTTTCTTGTTGATGTTCTTATTTACTGGTATGCAGATTTAGAAACTACTTCCATGCTAGGAAGCTGCTTAATTTTAATTGTATATTACTCAAGCACCTTTTTGAAGCTCAGAAAAAAAAGGAGATCATGCTTCTTTAAACTTTAGCATTATAGGAATATTTATGTAAATATAATTATGCTAAAAACAACAAAAAGTATTTGTATGTTTGTGTATATATATGTATATACAAATGCATGTAGATATACATATGTATATATACGTGCATGTGTATATACACTATACATATATATACTGTATATATAAAATACTATGTATACAGTATATATTTTTTCTATTTTTTTTCTTGTTGAATGTATTTTTATCTGAGAGAGATTTTACCCAGAGCAGAAACAGATAAACAGGCATTCCATATCAATGCTTAATCGCTTGTGAGTTTAGGAAAGACAAGAAAAGAGCATCTCATTCTACCTACAGTTTGATTTGATTTGATTTGAAAGTGTTTGTGTGCGCGCGTGTGTGTGTGTGTGCACTCTTGTGTTTGCGTGTGTACAGTACGTGCACGATTATAGCAGTAAGCGTTGCTCTTGCTACTTGCTACGTTTCAGGGTGTTTCTTATTTTTCTTTTCCTGCTTAGCCTTAAAAAGGCTTTTTAATGAATGCATTGGCTAGAGACACTGATGACAATATACATGCAGCACTAATCAGCTCCATATAATAACACCGTCGGCTCCTGGATTTTCTTTTTTTTCTTTCTTTCTTTTTTTTTTTTTCAAACAATTGTTTGAAACAACTACTGGAATATTGTCCACATTAAGCTGGAAGTTTGTTGTAGCTTGCCTCATTTATAACTCTGACTGTATAATACAATGTTAACTTTCCAAACAGGTCTTGGCACTTTTATACTAATTACCCATTTGTGCATTGCCTTTTTTCTTTTACAAATGCTTGTCATAAGAGACACAGATACCCAGTATGCTTAATGTGAAAAGAAAATGTATTTTTTGTAAAGGAACTCTCAAGTATTGTTGTAAATACTTGGTCAGAGGTTGCTGAACTTTAAAACTGAAAAAAAAACCCTAATTTATTATTATAATGACCTAATTTATTAATCTGAAGATTAACAATTTTTTTGTTTTAGAATATCAAAAAGGTGTTCTAGCTGTTTGCATCAAAGAAAAAAATAGGTGTATCATTAAGGGTCAACATTTTTTCTGCTTATATAACTTCAGTTTCCAACCACCACTAAGAAAAAATGTAGTCTCCCCAGTGTTTTGTACTCAATCTGATATTGAAACAGAGATGTTTCTGTCCAGTTACCACAAAGATTTTGTCAAGACAAAACATCCATTCCTTGCATAAGAGTAAGCAGTCTTTATCCAGAAATTGTAAATGCTTGCTTTTGTTTTACAATCAAGGCCATATTCTGAAGATACTAGCAGGATATAGGACATGGTGTAAAATGTTTTTTATTATTATTATTTTATTATTATTATTTTAAAGATATGATTTATCCTATGTGCTGTATTCATTACACTCTTTTACTTTGGTTCCTGTTGTGCTCTTGTAAGAGAAACGCAGATATAATTTTCTGAAAAATAGATGCATATGTGGCACTCGGAGTGCAC